GCCCCCCCCCCCCCAAAAAAAAAAAAACTGGCTGAAAAGATTCTATACATTCGACGTTTTGAGTAACGGGACTTTCGACTAGGGTACTTTCAGATAACACAATCCACGGGGACTAAGATCTGACAACGCGTTTCCATATTTTAGCTGAGATGGCTCGTGAGCGAGGAGCGACAGTTTACGCAACAGATGAGAGATTTTGTATTGATAATGGTGTGATGATTGCTCAAGCAGGATGGGAAATGTTTCGTGCTGGTCATGTCACTCCTATTGAAGACACGTGGTGTACACAAAGGTAAAAACTCGCTTAGTACTCACGTGGTGTACACAAAGGTCTTGTTTCACAAGCGAACTTGAAATAATATTCAAAGCTTGTCCGGAAAAAAATCCGTAATTTTACTAACACCATGCTAACACCATGCTTTGCTTTTTATTTTCTTTCAGATATCGCACTGATGAAGTTGAAGTCACGTGGAGAGATTAGAGAAACGATGAAACGCAAATTCAAAAAATTCTTGGATCGTCTGAAGATAATTGCTGGAAGGTACTGTAAATAAGTCAATGGGACATGAATCGCCTGGGGACTATTGTGTATATAACGTTTTATATCACAAATGTGACGTAAATTTCGCGTCCGGGACATCGAGATTGATATGCAGTATATTTTCCTGTCTAAGATAGGATGGTATCACTAAAGGGACAAATTCATTTTTCGTCTCGGAGGGAGAAATCGTAAACGATATCTTGTTGAAGGTCTTCCACTGGATCCAAGATGAACATTTGAAAACATCCATGAGTCACGTACTGTAAAGGCTAAATACTTTTCTTAATTTAAGAAAAGCAGTTGGACTTCTTAGGTTATGAAATAAAACATTCAATACAGAATCTGTAAGGAATTTTTAATGAATAATTCTTTATAATACACACGGTCTATAAAATAAATTTCTCGTCTTCACACGCTTTGGTACTATAAGCAATATTTTCTGAAAATCTTTTTCTATACTAGTGCAAATTTATATTATAGTGCAAATATACTAGTACTGTCCAAAGGCCTCTTTATTCACATACAAAAATGTACGTCATATTTCATTTTAATTTGGCGCAATCCCTCATATGTGCAATTTAACTTGGAAAACAAAAAATTGATAAATTCCATGTAGCACAATTACACAAATCTCATGAAGTCTCACAATTACACAAATCTCATGAATAATAGATTTGTGAAAAGAGTTTATCGAATATTTCTATGAATGTTCCATATCTTAAATCTAATGATAAAGTTCAGTTTCAATACATTTGTTTTTTAAAAACTAATATAACATTGTTTTATTCAGACTAAGTTGACATAGCCACTCATACTATCAGCAATCATCAGATATCCATACATCTCCTCACATTACAGAACAACATGTTTTTCGGCGAAACGTAAAGCCGCGCCCACTAGACTTACTGGTCGGCGGTTGATCCTTGCTAGCAGCTGCAGCAGTGTTAGTCGGTGGGGGTGGGCTAGAGGATAATGCAGCGTTTTTTGTTGGAACTTTCTGAACTTCGTTTGGAACTTTCTGAACTTCTTTTGGGGAGTCTGTTGGCTTAAAATGAAAAAAAAATACAATCATCAAGTGAACATAGAACAGTTACTAAAATGACAAGCTTTGTTTAATACGGTCAACACAATGCACACGTCGTCTTCTGTGCGTTTCATACTGCACAATTTACTCGCAATGTTTCGTCTCGACAAGTATAATCTTTCAAATTCATGTTTATCGTTTCTATTCAAAGTTGAACTCAACAGCTGAGAAGTGAAAAGACGAGTGAGTTGGCTTGACTAACCCAGTCAACTCTAACAAGAAAATCACATTCACCTTTTTTCGACCCTCTCACAGACATCTGTTTTGTATTCGTCGCAACTCCGGGGGGTTCCGGAGCTTTCCGTTTATCTGTCGGTGGCAACTTCGGTAACGTTGATGTCGTGCGCCTTTCAAGCTGATTCGTGTTCTCATCCTCAATTGCGTTCTCCGTAGAGCGTGTTTTGAGTTGATTCGTGTTTTTATTTGCGTTTACCTGCGTGCTTGTTTTAAGTTCTGTTTTTGGTTCAGTATTTTGTACTTTAGTTTCAGTACTGACATTCTGTGGTATATCTTGCTTGACATCAGGTGTCTTATCAGGCTTACTGCTTTTACTTTCCGTCGGTTCAATTTCAAAATTGATATAAGCCTGTGGGTCTAGTCTTGCTGAATTCAGAGTTCCGAGCCGTGGGGGCTTGGGGACGGGTGACTGTTTAATAGTTTTATTTTCCTCTGTTTCCACTTTAAGTTTATCCTCATTTCCTTTCCTTTCGTCTGTTGAAACTTCAACATCTGTTTCCACTTTAACAATTTCTTTATTTTCCTTTGTCTTTTCATCAACCGCGATTTCAGAGGTTTTAATGAGTTCATGTTTTTCTTCAGTTTTTGTCTCGTTACTTCCCTCGCTGACATAACCCGAGGAATTATTTTCCTCACGTGAACTGTTGCTCTGCCCGTCGCATGTTTGTGAACACTCGTCTGTCGCAGGAGAGCTTGCATCTGTGTTTTCCTACAGTGAAAAGAAGTGGAAAGAAGTGTTAAACTTCATATTATAAATCGTAGTCGTATCGGAATCCAGGCAGCGCTATTGTAAGAGACAGCAACTGGCTCTACTTACAGTATTTTGTAGTTGCATAAACAATTCTGCTCCCTCAGCCTTAAGAGACAGCAACTGGCTCTACTTACAGTATTTTGTAGTTGCATAAACAATTCTGCTCCCTCAGCCTTAAGGTGGCTCCTTAGGGTTTTATTTCCGGGGGTTACGTTCTTCGTATATATGTAATCAAAATCTAGTAAAAATTGCCAAAATTAAACCCAAATTTCTCCCTTTTCCTTCGGTGAAATTTTTTAAAACTTTGCACATTTTTTAATATCAGCACAACAAGTGCAATATCCTTTTTTCTTAAAATTAAATCGAAGGGAAAATGTTTAATAATGATTTTTGACGTTTTTTAAATTTTCTAAGAAACGTATCGATTTAATTTTTTTAAATTGAGGAAGAAGAATCATTATACAAGTATTATCGTTTATGCAAAGTTTTAAAAAATTTCACCGAAGGGAATTTTTAAAATGACCTGGAAAAGACAAATTTTGAGCTTTATTCTAAGCATGCTGTTGCTATGACAACAGATTTTTAACACAAAAGTAGCATTACGCAATGTTCAGGAGATCATTGTCAATGTGTCCAGTAAATTTTGTCTTTATATCATGTAAAGTGAAGAAACAGGAGTCTCCAGAATACTATACTGTAATAAATTAAAAAACCCTGGGGAGCCACCTTAAGAGACAGCAACTGGCTCTACTTACAGTATTTTGTAGTTGCATAAACAATTCTGCTCCCTCAGCCTTAAGAGACAGCAACTGGCTCTACTTACAGTATTTTGTAGTTGCATAAACAATTCTGCTCCCTCAGCCTTAAGGTGGCTCCTTAGGGTTTTATTTCCGGGGGTTACGTTCTTCGTATATATGTAATCAAAATCTAGTAAAAATTGCCAAAATTAAACCCAAATTTCTCCCTTTTCCTTCGGTGAAATTTTTTAAAACTTTGCACATTTTTTAATATCAGCACAACAAGTGCAATATCCTTTTTTCTTAAAATTAAATCGAAGGGAAAATGTTTAATAATGATTTTTGACGTTTTTTAAATTTTCTAAGAAACGTATCGATTTAATTTTTTTAAATTGAGGAAGAAGAATCATTATACAAGTATTATCGTTTATGCAAAGTTTTAAAAAATTTCACCGAAGGGAATTTTTAAAATGACCTGGAAAAGACAAATTTTGAGCTTTATTCTAAGCATGCTGTTGCTATGACAACAGATTTTTAACACAAAAGTAGCATTACGCAATGTTCAGGAGATCATTGTCAATGTGTCCAGTAAATTTTGTCTTTATATCATGTAAAGTGAAGAAACAGGAGTCTCCAGAATACTATACTGTAATAAATTAAAAAACCCTGGGGAGCCACCTTAAGAGACAGCAACTGGCTCTACTTACAGTATTTTGTAGTTGCATAAACAATTCTGCTCCCTCAGCCTTAAGAGACAGCAACTGGCTCTACTTACAGTATTTTGTAGTTGCATAAACAATTCTGCTCCCTCAGCCTTAAGAGACAGCAACTGGCTCTACTTACAGTATTTTGTAGTTGCATAAACAATTCTGCTCCCTCAGCCTTAAGAGACAGCAACTGGCTCTACTTACAGTATTTTGTAGTTGCATAAACAATTCTGCTCCCTCAGCCTTAAGAGACAGCAACTGGCTCTACTTACAGTATTTTGTAGTTGCATAAACAATTCTGCTCCCTCAGCCTTAAGAGACAGCAACTGGCTCTACTTACAGTATTTTGTAGTTGCATAAACAATTCTGCTCCCTCAGCCTTAAGAGACAGCAACTGGCTCTACTTACAGTATTTTGTAGTTGCATAAACAATTCTGCTCCCTCAGCCTTAAGAGACAGCAACTGGCTCTACTTACAGTATTTTGTAGTTGCATAAACAATTCTGCTCCCTCAGCCTTAAGAGACAGCAACTGGCTCTACTTACAGTATTTTGTAGTTGCATAAACAATTCTGCTCCCTCAGCCTTAAGAGACAGCAACTGGCTCTACTTACAGTATTTTGTAGTTGCATAAACAATTCTGCTCCCTCAGCCTTCGTGTCTGCGTGGGATAACTCGCATTTCTCATGAATACTCGTTCTCTTGATGGATGAACTAGAAAAACAGAATTTCTTTGACTTCAATTCAAATTGTGCAAACCTGCTTCATACTTCATGAACTTTATTTGTACTGGAAAGTTCTATCAGTTCTAAACTGTCTTTCCTAGAGGTAAGTACATCACAAGAGTCTAACCGCCGTCACACTGCGAACTGTTCTTAATTGAGAGCAAATACTAACTTGGAAGTGTTGCTTCTCTTCCTCCGAACACCTTTCCCTTTTCTTGGATATTTGACTTGTTTTGTTTTAAGTTCTTCAATCAATTCAATAATCTCGGTCTCCTCAGTCAAGTCTAACACGAAAAATACATTACACATCACATAATCTGTCAATCCAAAACAGTTACGCACATTTATCCAGGGTCGTGAGCACGCGAATTATTGCATCCTGATATCAAGGCAGGTGGAATAGAATAGTGATATATCTTTACAGTCAGTAGAGACTGATTTGCATACAATGCGCAAGAAAACAAGAAAGACGCAGACTATTTCTACATGGTCGAAGATGACTTGATGAGGAACTGGTTTGGATGAAAATGGTTTGGATGTAAAAAGAAAGCAAATGTGAGAATATCAGCATGGCTTCCCAAAAGCTTATTAACAAAACAAAACAAAACAAAACAAAGCAGAAAGAATTGTTTGTTTTGTGCTTCGATCGTTGCGTTTTTGGGGGCTTATGTCGAAGTTTGTGCATGGCTGTTGTCTTTCTTATGCTTGTGCACCGCTGGTGATTACAGAATGAAGGCTTCCCTTCACTGGTTGCCTTCATACAAAAAAAACGTGAAACTTGCGTAAAACACTCAATGTTATACCTAGAGGCGTTCTTGAATCATTTGTTTTGGAGTCTAGATCTGCACCACTTGCTACGAGAACCTCAAGTATTGTGTCCTGGAACAAATTAATTTAGTGGATAATTGTCATTCATTTTGCAACAGTATGGGAAATGTGGGGGTCCAGTGTGGGTAGTATTCTACAATTGTGTCTGAACTAGCTGAAAATATCATCACCTTCGTCCTTGTTTGGACGTTTAATATACAAAATGTTAAAGCGATTTGAATTTTTTCCAAGTAGTTCAGACACAAGCCGTGGTAGTAGCGTGTTGATTTGGGGGCCATATAACGTAAAAAAGTATTTTGCGGAGGTTTATTTCAAGTGCAGGAATATCTAAAAAATTTAAGAGATGTTTAGACAAGATATTAAGGAAAGGTTTTAGTTATTCTATTGCAATGATATGGCTTGCAATTCTGCAATATTCTGACAACGAAGGCCATTAACCAAGAGCAACAATAAAAGATTGAACTAACATGTCCCCAGGCTGCTGCAGCATGTATTGCTTGCCATCCATCCTTATCTGTGATCTCAAAATCTGCTTCATTTTCCAAAAGAAAATCTATAACATTTGTCCAACCATTTGCTGCTGCAACATGAAACTGAAATGGAAGTAAGTGGAACCCATTGAAATGAATATAACTGGAATGCTACCTTCGGATAAACTGCCTATCTCTTGAAGCCAAATCTGACCCCCCCCCC